GTGCGAGTGGCGAGAGTTTTCTATTTTCTATTTTCTCTCAAACTAATATGGAAAATATTTTGTATCTGTGAGGAAAAAGTTTTTGCCACAGGCAGCTGGTACAGGAAGAGTGGATGGCGTAAGGGGGGGGCCTTCCTCTCACCCCTCTCATGTGGGGTGTTTGGGGTCTCGAGACTTGCCTTAAGTGTCGCTGTGGTGTCATTAGCTCTAAGGATTAGTTCCAGCGACTTGTGTGGGGCAATAATCAAACAGAAAAATTAATAACAGAGCAAGGCAGGGAATCTAAGCAATCAAAATGCTAGAAACCTTCGGAAATTCGTCTCAATCTTACGATAATTCTGCTAATTACTGTCGGCTCTTCGTTTCAGTTTTATTTTTAAATGTAGAAAAGTTTTTTAAAGCCAACAAATCGACTTTTCATGCTTCAAATGGCCAAAAACCCCTCAGGGTCCGTTTGCACACATTCTGCTGTGGAAATCAAACCCCAAAATGGCCTTAACTTGATGTCAAAGGTCATACCGCACTATTAAATCCAATGTCGAATGAAATTTTGTGGCATTTAAAGCGCAAATGAAACGAAATTAGCGCCTAAGGGGCAACAAAGTGGGCAACAGTAGCTACAGGAGCATAACGAGGGGCAGCAGGCAGGCAGGCATAACGAGGGGCAGCAGGCGGTACAGTCAGTCCGTGGCAGGCAGCAGGCAGAAGCAGAACGAATGAACGAGCGGTACAGCAATGAAAAGGCATTTAAAATGTCAACACGACCGCAACATCGTGTGCGAAATGGTCAGCAAAAGGTGTGTATACATATCCAGAGATACATATGTCTCTGTGTATCTGTGCATCTGTATCTGTGTGTGTGTGTGTGTGTGGACTTTTGCGGTTGCACCAAAAGTAAACCAAAAGTGACAGAGAGAGCGAGAGGGTCAAAGGTGAGAGCAGGGCAGGGCAGAGCAGAGGCTACGCTTAAATGCTTGACCACGAAAAGGCCATTAGAAAATGGTCAGCGTACTGTTAGCAGGAGCAGGGTAGGGTAGGGGGGGTTGGGCTGGAAAAGCCATCTCTTGTGACAGTTGGAAAATTAGAAGCAGCGAGCGAGAGAGGGGAGGGCAGGGCAGGGAGCGTTAGTGTGGCATGGATGGGTTAGATGGGTTAGAGAGAGTTTCCGCAGAAGAAAAACACACTCTGAAAACCACAAAACGTTTGCGCCCCAAAAACACACACGTGTAAAAGTTTGTCCAAGTTTTTGTTTTCTTCTTCTTGTTTTTTGTTTTCTGGCAAAAGAGGAGTGGAAGAGATAGATCTCTGCGGCAGCATGCCAAGGCCAAAGGTGAGATGGGTGATGTTCCACGTAAGGAAATGTTTTGCAGGGAAAATTTGTCCAAACTGTTGATGGGTGCCGGATAAGAGGGGAAATCTCAGAGACAAGCATCAACTTTAAATTAGAAATTTATATATTTATGCATCGTTTAAGTAGCTACAACTTTCGTAGTTTCAAATGGAACAACTTTAAAGACAAGTCCCCAAAGATATCAAAGTTTTGCCCGTTTAGCAATTATTAATTTAGGCAAAGTTTAAGGTTCAAAGTAAATACTTTCTAAAACACTAAATAGTTAATGCTGCAGCTGAACACTTTTTTATTTATAGAACTTGGAGAAGTACTAAGTATTTTGGGAGTATTTATCGAAAATAATTTAAATGTGTTTAACGGAGAAAAATCATAATAATTGCTGCTGGCGTGTATCCTCTCAATATCTCAATGAGAATCATTTTTAAATGCAAGTTTTTGTGTCCGTAACGATTTTAAATATTTATACAAATATTTTCTTGTTTTGTATTTGAGATTTTATACGTTGTTCTCCTTCATCTGAAATTCATCTTTTAAGTTATTTATGTTGGCCCAACTATTTGTTATTCGTTTAAGCAAATGCCTTGGGCACTTATCCCTTATCCCTCTCTTTAGCCTACTTTCATTTGTGTGGGAAATGTTTCTCTAAGGAAATCTTTTTGCTTAGCAACTGATATATGTACGAGTATGTATGTGCAATTTTCCACACAAAAAAACACTTTCCTTTATTTCCTTTTTTTCTTCCTTTGCTACAACGGACAGTCATCGTTGGGTAGCCTGCCATTTGTTGCTGCATTTAAATTTTCACTTAATTCTCCCATGAACCACTTTTCCCTAAACAAATTTCCATTCTTCTATATTGTTGGACAGTCAGAAGAAATCAACAGAGTCACGCTCTGATTCCCATTCCCAAAACACACACTCACACACACAAAAAGAAACACCTGCATTTGTATCCAGGCTCTGCATTTGTATCTGTGGCTGTACAGATCTGCTGTGTGTGTGTGTGTGTGCTTAGATGCGTGTTTATGTCTGTCTGTGTGAGAGAGTGAGAGTAATATAATCTTTTTGCCGCAATGCCGTTGAATGTATAATAAAGCACATGACTTTGGTTCTTTTATGGCTTTGGTCCGTGCTTAATTTTTGGGATACCCGCCACAGCGGCCGCAGCCGCATGCCGCATGCCGCACGCCGCACCTTGGAAACATCAACAGAAACAATGACCAACAGGCAGCAGCAGCAAACGACTCTGCTTCTAAATCCAAGACCAGCACCCAGGGACACCCAAATGAGGGGCCTTCCAACTCCGGAATGACTGAGGTTTTCCACTGTACTCCCAGAGACTGCCAGGACTGACTGAGGTTTTGCTCTGGACTTTGCTGTGGCAAGAGGCAGACCAAGACCAAGACCAAACGACAACAATGTGCAACAATTAAATGTCAAACAGTATGCTGCCTTTTCGCATTTTGATGGACGCTTAAAATCACTGCAACTGTCAGCGTGACAGGAGCTGCTGCTTGGAAGTGGAGCCGTAGCTGTAGCCGTAGCCGTAGCCGTTCGTTTGTGGCATGAACACAAGTCACGGAACGGTCACACACATGACACACACAGATAGGAGAGAGAGAGAGAGAGGCAGGGAAGGGAGCGCCGTGTAGGAGCCATTGCCGTGTGCCTGAAGAGCAGGTGCACATAGCGTTTAAAATGTACACCCATAAACAAAAGTGCAAACAAAGCCATAAACAAGTGGAGCTACCAGCGGCGGAGAGGCGAGCCGAGTCGAGTCGAGTCGAGGATAAGAAGCAAGGGTGTAGCGGGGGGGCGTGTGTGGCAGGGGCAGGAACTTTCAACCCCCGCAACTACTATGTTTATGCTTCTCTCTATATCCTTTTTGCCGACGGTGTGCTCTGGGTGTGTGCCCGCGCCCGTGCCCAACGTTCGCCGTCGCCGTCGCCAATGTCGTTTGTTAGTTTTTGCCTGCCTGTCGTTTCGCTGCCCCTGAAAGGCACACTGGTTCAATATTCAATGACAATTGAATGAAAATGGAATACAAATCACAAGGAATGCCTGGAGCAGTGTTAAAATCTTTTCTTGAGGCGTCTTTACACAATTATTTTGATGTCTCGCTAGAAATATTTCTCTTTGCTTTCTTCCCACATTGATTGATTGATTGATAAGTAAATAATGTGAAGTTTTCATTAGAAAAACCAAAAGCAAGACTTAGACCACTCTACTGCGAGTATTTCCCCTCGATAAAGTTCCCTAAAAGTGCATCTTGGATTCTCCGTAATTTTATTTCCACTTTTCAACTACTTGCGAGACACTGCCGCTGCTGCTGCGGGCACTTGCACCTCTGTGTGCTGTGCCAGCGACATTGAATGTCTGTGCAACGCCGCGGCGCTTCCATTCCATTCCACTCCATGGCGACGGATACCTTTCCACTCCATGCGGAATACCATGCCCATCCAGTCCACCCCTGCCCCTACGCCCTCCCCTTTCCCAGCCCACACTGCCATTCCGGTGGCTGGTCTCTCGTGCTGCTGCTTCTGCTCCACTATGCCCCACTGCCACTGCCACTACTGCCACCGCTCACAGTTTGTTAGCTTTGCTTTGTGATGGAGCTCGAGCTCCAGCTCCAGCAGCAGCAGCAGCACCCTCCCTGCTTCTATGATACTCAACGTGCCCCCCAAACGGGGGCATGATGGCGGAGCGGAGCGGGGGCGGGGGCGGTGGCCAAAGCCTTCGTCGAAGCCTTTGCCTGTCAGCGTTTTCTCTGGCGCTGCTGCTGCCGCTGCTTGCTGCTGCTGTGTGTTTGCTGCGCTTTGTTTTTAATACTTGTACGTGGTGGCATCATCATCGTTTATTATTTTATTTTTGTGTGTGCGTATACGTAATATGTATGGCAAAGGATACACAGGACATCCACACACACACACACATACATATACGTGTATATGTACATAACCCATGGGTCCATGTCACGCACACATTAGAAGGTAAACAGAGCAGGACACGCGTTTCGGCCACTCGGATGCATAAACATTTGGACATTCCATAGCCATAGCCATAGCCATCGAGCCTCATCCTCCTTCGCCTCCTTCTTCATTCAGGAACATCCTTAGCCTTATTGCGTGTCTGTGTCTCTGTGTTAGTGTGGCATTCGTTGGGCTACGAACTAAATTAAATTTTTACATCAACATTTGCGCTTCATTAGAGAGGTAGAGGAGAGGCGCAGGAGCTGGAGAGCATCCCAAAGGATGTGTCTGTGTCTATGTGTGTGTGGGACAATGCCAAGTGTTGTAGTCGAGTGCTGCCCCATGGGAAGCACGCAGAGCATGCCCCAGCTATAGCCCCTGTCCCATGGACAAATGAGTGGCGCAAACTCCACTAAATTAGCCCCTGAAACGGAAGGAAGAATGGCCAGGATGTGTGCCGCCTGTGGGCCTGAAAGCGTTAAAGTTATCGCTGGCATAACGATTCAATTGATGGCACCCAATGGCAGTGGCAGTGGCAATGGACGGATGAATGGGATAGTGTTAGTCGGAACTGATAATTGGATATAGTTTTGGGGTTTTTATGGGGAGATAAACAGTAGGTAGGGAGGCAGGGAGACAGGGAGGCAGGGTGTTAGGGAGGCAGGGTGTAAAATTACTTTTCTAGAATTTGATTTATATTTTCTTTCGAGTGTGTTTTTATGTGTAGCAGGCGTGCCAGTAGCTTCATTTTTTAGCAAGTCCAAAATATTGTTTAATAAATCTACAATTCAAATTTTACACTACTGATGGCTAACTCATTCGTAGTCCAGAATCCCAGACTTGATTGAGATCTGGGGCATGCAGCAAATCTTTCGCTTAATCACACACAAAGTGAGATAATCATTTTTGTACTGATCCTCACAGTTGTATTCCTCCAGACATTTGCCGCCCTGGCCAAAACAGGACTTTAAATCTGTATAAAAAGTAAAGAAATTAACGATCAGTGCAGGCAGTCCAAAGTACACACTCACGTCTCTGCTTGGGATGCTGTAGGGAATAGTAGCTGCCAACGGCAAAGAAAACTATGAAGAAAATCAACGTCAGTGTGCAGGCGATGAGATTTTTCATTTTTGGTATTTAACCCAAAGGGGTTTGGTCCTTTGGTCTGATTAGCTCCTATCAAAGTGCAAGCTAATTCTGTTTTAGCTGTACTTTATCTCTGTTGATGAAGTCTCTCGCACAGCCTGCCTGCTGCTTAACCCTCTAACTGAGTAAGTAAATTATTATCATAATAATGCAAAAGTGCAGCACTCATCTCGTCTCCCACTCTCTTCTTCATCTCTTTCTGTTTCTTTATCTGCTGGACCTGCTGCGGCTGTCTATGGGGCCAATGTTCAAATTGAAACTTCTTAATTAAAAACTTACAGCAGCAGCAAATCGAGGGGAATGGTACACGCAGAGAAATTGCAAAACACTTATCGAAAGTCAGCTCCGACAAAAAGGAAAAAGCCAAGAAAATACCGCAATTTATCTACGAAAAATTACATTAAAAATCATTAATAATCGAACCATTCACTTGCAAAATTTCATAACATTATTAATTCTATAAATTCTATAATTATAATTCTATAATTCTATACATGCAAATAGTCAGATAATATACGAATAATATTTTGTAAAACTAAACAGAAAATGTTAAAAGTTCGCATATCACGTACTGTACTGTAGCGGGCAGTGAAATACAGCGAATACTCTGGTGAACGAACTTTAAAATGACGGCACATATTTCCGAGTGTAAAAGGACACCTCTCTGGCTGCGCTGCGCTGCCCTGCGCTGCGCTGGCAAAATCAGTGTGAAGCAAAATAAACCGCTTAAGGACTTGCGACTTGGCTGGCGCGTTGGAAATAACAAGAAAACTGCCCTCAAGCTAGAGTCCAGGGCCAGAGCCAGAGCCAGAGAGAGAGAGAGTCCTAGCGGATGTCCTGGACGGATGTGCTTGGTCAGACCTATGGCTCCCGCACCCGCTGCTGCCGCTGCTGCGGCATTTAGGGGCAGCAAAGAAGAGCACAGCACAGAATAGAACCACTACTCGTCTACTCTCGTGGCAGCTACAGTGGGGGAAAAAAAAATTCAATTAAAAGCAACAGCACGTAACTGAAACTTTTCCTCTTTTTCTCTCTATCTGCTTTTTTTTTTCGCCCAAGTTTTGTATCTTTTCAGTGGCACAACCCCCCCGCACATATCCCACTACCTCACCCACTCTCTGTGTATGTGGAGGGAGGGAGGGGGTGGGAAAACCATCTGCCTTTGGGGGCAGCAAAGCCTTTCCCCAAAGCACTTTGAGTTATAACTTGGGTGCCAGCTGTCAGTTTTTCGCTCGCTCGTTCTCTCTCTGTCTCTCTCTCTCGCTCGCTGTCTCTGAAAGTTGCATGCGGCACACAGCCACGGAGTTGCAGCAGCTATCATCAGTTCTGTGGCTGGCCACAAAAAATGCTGCCTGCTGACTGCTGCCTGCCCGTGGAGAAGGAGAAGGCTTATACTTATACCTTGGGCTGTTACGATTGTAAAGTCTTGGCGGGAAGGGAGGGGAGCTCTCTCTCCCTCTCTAATGCCAGATAATGTATTCTTCTGTGGCTCCTCCTCTTCGTTCTCTTTTTTAATCAAGTTATTCACTCTTTTTGCTTAGGAGGTTCATCCTTCCTTCGCTCCATCCATCCTTTGAGTGTAGCTTCGTCCTCCATCTTCGAGTGGCTTCTATCTGCCTCCATCCTGCGATTGCAGCTTCTTACATCTCTCTAGCATTTTAGGGAGCAGTTTCTATCTGCCCTCCCCTTGGCTTTGGCTTGAAATGTATCTGCCTAATGCAAGGCGATTCGCACATTACGTATTCGCAGTGGAGGCCTGCCTGCCTGACTGCCTGCCCCAATGACGTCACTAGAATCAGGTCAACACTGGGGCGGCTTGGAGCCTATATCTAAACGGGCAGCGAGCCCTGACTCTGGCTGTACGAGAAGGTTGAATCTTTGGCTGTGGAGCAGAGAATCCCCTGACTGCTGAAGGAACCAAATTCCATGGGGCAGGGCAGAGGTTGAAGCTGAAGAAGAGGCACATTCTGTGCGAGAGCAGAGGTTGAGGCAGCAGTGGCATACTCTTTGGGGCGGGTGGCAGGATGCTGGAGGGGGCCACAGACTGAGGGACTGAGGCATACAAATTATGTTGTGTAGCCTGCAAAAATGGCAATTCACTGTGGACTCTCACTCTTCACTCTCCCACTTTCCCTTTCTCTACTGCCACACACACACACCACACCCTCTCCCCCTCCCTTCGCCTTTCTCTCTCTCTTTTTGTGGCACATACACCTTGAGCTTGAGGTTTAGTTTGGCCTTTCTTCTATGGCCTCCTGCTCCCGCTGTGTGCTACTTAATGGACATTCATTGGTCCCACCCCTCCCGCTCGACCGCTCTGCATCGTTTTTTTTTTTGACATTTATTTTTCCCTTGGACTTTTTTTTGCGGGAGCTAAATTAAATACAGATTATGCGAAAGGACCTCTCGGCTCTTAAGTAAATGAAATGAGAGATGAGAGGAGAGCAGAGCAAAGCAATGCAGAAAGGGATGGGGCACGGGGAACGGGGCAAGGGGAACTGCCCTCTGATATGGCATTTATTTTCCATATATTGATTGCTTTTTAATGGATATTTTAGCCAGTAGGCAGTGCCAGGCAGACGGCGGTGGTGGGTGGTGGGGGGGAGCCATTCTATTAATTTTATTTACCCAAAGAGTATTTACTTTATTTGGATATTTATTTACATAGTTAAATGGTTCGCCCACCAATTGTTGTGTGTTGTGTGCTGTGTGTTGTTGGCTGTTTGATTTACTGCGAAAATTCGCTGGGAAATTAATTGTTTGATTTGTGGCATTGCCCAGAGACGTGGCGCGACGCGACGTTTTTGGTTTCCATTTTCAATGTTTTTGCTGAGCATTTTTTTTGTTCTGGTCAAGCCTCCATTTCACTTCCATTTCTATGTGGGTCATTCGGTACTCTGTTTTCCCCTCTCTCTCTCTCTCTCTCTCTTTATGCTGCTTCTACGGGTGCTGCTGCTTTATCCCTCTCTAGTGATTTACAGTTTTATTTGCTCAGTTTATAAATAAAACTGTCAAGCGAGCGTCTCTCTTTCTCTCTCTCTCTCTGTGACGTTGGCAGCTGCTCATCTAATGGTATTTTCCACTCTCCCTCTGCCCCTACCCCACGCACCCAAAGTTCTGTTTAAAGTCCTTTTCCTCAGCCACCCACCCAAACAACCATTTGTTATGGCAACCACCCACACTGCTACCCTCCCCTCCACTCACCACTCTCCCACCTCGCACTCTGGCACTCTGGTAGTCCCCACGTCAGTCACGGGTCCATTCAATCAGTGCGAATGTCAATCAAGCGGGCGGACTGCAAAGCCACTGCATTAACAGCGGGACAGGAGCAGCAGCAGCAGCAGCAGCAGCAGCGGCAGGTAGCAGGTAGCAAGAGCAGCCAAATGAAATGAAAGGAACGGAAAAATAGAGGCAGAAACCCAACAAACTGAAAAATAAAGATAACACCCACAAATGACAGCAGCACAAAGAAACGAATAAAGGAAATGTACGAGAAATGCTTGCAAAAAATCTATTGCAGTTTTCTTTCTATATATATATATATATATATATATATAATTTATTATTTGATGTGATGATTGGATATTTAAATGAAAGAAATCAAATTCAAGGTATTTCAGTTATATGTCTCGTATATTCAGTTATAAATAGAATTATGTGGGTAGGTGGGTAGGTAGGATATTCGAAATTAAAATTACGTACGTACAAATATTTCACATGCTCGTCATTCGTCGTACATCAAGCGTACATCTACAAGGAAAAAATATTTATAAAATATTTTTATTTATAAAAATCTTTTATTGGTATCAGTTGTTGGTATCAAAATATGAGTTATATTCTGAATACCAAAAGAAAATAATTTTATTATCCACCTTTAGAAAATTTCCTTGAACCCATTATATACGCTTACTCCTTGTAGGTCATAACAATACCCTTTAAATGTACGCATACACGAAGCAAAAGACTCCCGAAAGAAATACTCACCACGCTCTGGTACTGCTGGCTGCTGCTGCTCTTTGGGGGCCACACAACTCTTTGGGTGCTGCTGCTGCTTGGCTGGCTTTCTCTTTTTTCGGGGAATAGCAGCAGCAGTAGCAGCAGCAGCAGCAGCAGCAGAAGGTTCTTTTACGCATGGAGGAGAGGCATGGCAACAGCAAGGGGCAGGCAGGCAGGCAGGCAGGCAGGCAGGCAGTCAGTGGCAAGCAGCAAGAGGTAGGAGTCACAGTCAGTGGCACAAGCAGCATCAGCAACAGCAAACGGCAAACGGCGGCTTTCATCTTTTTTTAGCACACGCGCCCCAATAACAGCCACAGCCAGCCATAGCCATAGCCACAGCCCCAGCATCAGCGCCAGCGTCAGAGCATCCACTCACTCTCTCTCTATGGATACCCCGGAGCCTCCCTGCTCCTTCCCGTACATCTCCTCGCTATGGAGACCCCTTATTTCCCATCACTAGAACCGCATTCCATGCCAGTGCGAGTGTTCTGTGTTCAGAACTCAGCTCCGTTCCCCTTGGTCGCCTGTCGACTGTCAAATCAATTTGTCAGAAATCAGTGACAGCTGCTTACAGCCAAAACATACACACACACACACAGACACACATGAACGTACGGGAGAAAGCAGGGGAAAAAGTACAGGGACCATGGCCATCAGATTGAAGAGTTGTCAGGGCAGCTATGGGAAAATGGAAAATAGTACAACATTCAGACATTCGCAAAAGGAAAAAAGGAAGAGCCTTTTTGTGGGGTGTGGTGTGGTGTGGTTCGGGGTTGGGAATATTGCCTGGGGTGTAAATTATTGCGCATATTTTCATTTCTTTTCAAATTGCTTTGCAGATTGCCAGCATTTAAGGGCACAGCCCAGCCGACAGCACAGAAAAAAATATAACCCAAGCACAGCACACACACTTTTGACATTTACAACTCATTTTTGTTGTCTCCCCCGCCGCAGAACGAATAAAAAAAAAAAAAAAATGGGGAAAATGGGAAAGAAAATCTCTATGCAAGAAAGTTTTTCAAGTTCGACTTGGAGTCTGACAGACAAGCGGCTTGGCTTTTGTTTGCATGCCACATCCACACACACACACACACACACA